AAAAAAAATTATAGTGATAATAGAAAATGGAAATTAAAGTTTAAAAAATAATAGTAACCATAATAGAATAAAAAGAATTAAAAAATTGAAACCATTAATAAGAAAGTTAAAGAACAACAACTAAATCGACAACAAAAAGTAAAAAAAAAGTGAAAAAAAATAGAAAAAATAAAAAAATTTTAAAAAGTACTAATAATAATCACTAAAAAATAATAATAATAAATGCAGTCATAGAGCTCTATTAACTTCTCTTCCAGTAGGTGGAGTTATGCCCACTGGGCCAGGCTTCTCTTCTTGATAGGTGGGAACCAATCACTGTGTCTCAGCTCTTCTTCCCAGACTGTGCGGGTCTCCAATCCTGAGTGCTTAGGGCTTCTCTTGTGGTTCCTCAATCCAGGCCCCGCTCACCTGTGACGCTTACCACAATACTGGCTACACGCTGGGTCTGCTGCTCCTGGGAGCTCTGTTTTCATGGATGCCTGGCCACACCCTTTCTGTTTGCCTCCCTCAGACCCCAAGTTTGTATGGCTTGGGGCTGAGGGCCCCCAGCGAACTTGTTTGCCCTCAGGTAGCAACTCCCCTGGTAGCTGGTGCAAGGGACCTCTGTTGTCAGCACTGGTGGAAGCAAAAGCTGGGAGTTCTGTGCTGCAGGTCCCACGTCCCTCCTGATTCCCTGGGTCCGGCTATGGTGCTCAGTTGGTTTTTACCTCTGGGAGTTCAGGTGGGACTAGTTATTTCAGTGGGATCGTTAGTGCTGAGACACGAGAAGCAGGCGAACCAGAGCTTGCATGCAGCTGATTCGTGCTCAGTGTGTGTTTTCTGAAGGGCCCAGGCTGCACGCCTTAGCTCCACGTCAGCTCAGCTTTGCCTAGTGATCCTGAGCAAGCTGGCTTTGGGCCGCACTCGGGCGCCGCGCTTGTCCACGGCCTCAGCAGTGACGCTGGGACCTCCGTAGCTCCTCCGCTAGGTGCCTGGTTCCCAGGGTCCAAGCGGCTGCCGCCGCGGCTCTCCGGCCCCTCCCTCTAGTGCGCGGGTCCTCTTGCAGGGGACTGCCGAACAACCCCAGAACAGTTTCTGCCCAAAAGGTGCAGCAGGGAACAAGCAACTGCTGCGTTCGGGGTCGTGGTCCCGCCTTCGGAGGATAGGACTCGGCACGCAGCCCAGTTCCCGTCTCTAGGTGCGGCAGCTGGACCATGTAGACAGAGCCATTAAGACAGCATGCAGGAAGCAAATGGCGGCTCCCGAGGAGTGGATTTTCAGTCCCGAAACCACAGCCCAGCCAACAATCCCAATCCACTAACTCTCCTTGTATAGAAACTATTCAAGACAAAAAAAAAAAAAAAGGTGGTGTACTGAGCTTTCTTTGTCAGGTACTTACAATCCGCTGCTGATTACGTCTCTCTGCCGGTAGCGAAGTGAAAGAGGCAGCAGATGGGCGCAGAGCCGGTAGCGAAGTGAAAGAGGCAGCAGATGGGCGCAGAGCGCCCGCGTCTCTGAGCAGAAAAGCGTCTCTCTTTCGATCTCTGTTTTTTCTGCTGCTTGGCAAGGTGGTCCGCTACAGCTTAATGGTGATAGGAGCTCTAACAAGCTGCGTGAAATCTCGATTAAAGCCGCTGCTCAGAGCCCCACGCTCAGCACTTCAGCAACCCTTGTACGCAGCGGCCATCTTCTCTGAATTTTTTTTTTAATCTCATGCATTTGGTATTCATGTATTCAGTTATTGAGTAGTTATAGACTTTTGGAAGTTTTTATGCCATTGCTTTCTAATGTTTTCTAGACTTATATATTGAGGTTTGACCATTTGATGAAATGTATTTTTCTTCCAGTTGTCTGGAGGATTCCTAGCCTGCTTTTACTTTACTATGCTCCTGAGCCAAAGGAATATCTCCATGCCAAAGAGCCCAGCCAATGTGTTTTGGGTACTTTCATCAATCCCTTCAACTCCTTTGAGGGGAGACATTATCACTGGTAAGCTCCAAATTCTTTTTTTAAATCATTTCCACAACTGTTGTATTATAATTGTATATAATGATGGGATTTGTTCTTATATATTCATATATGCACATAACGATATAATTTGACCAATATCAATCCCCAGAATTTCCCTCCACCCTGACTGCCTCCCACCCCATTCCTCTACTAATCTCCCTTTGATTTCCATGAGAAACATGCTCAGTTTTCTTTTCCTTTTTTCCTCTTTAGCTTCCACATATGAGAGAAAACACGTGTCCTTAGTCCCTTGACCTTCTGAGCTTGATTTATTTTACTTAATAAAATGGTCTCTAGTTCAATCTATTTTCCTGCAAATGACATAATTTCATTTTTATTTAATGGCTGAATAAAACTTTATTGTGTATATGTACCACATTTTCTTCATCCATTCATCTGTTGATGGATACCTAGGCTGCTTCCACTAAACCACAAACTCTCAAGAGTACACATATACTAAATTTGTTAAAACATTTTCTACAACTCCAACAGATATAACATGGATGAGGGGGATAGTACCCTAAAATAGGCTGACAGATTGCTATCAAAGAAGAGGAATTATTATACTACACAGTACATTAAAAACCAAATAGAAAGAAGAGACAGGATAGATGAAAAAAGAAAGGAGAAACAATAAATATAATAGGGAGGGGTAAACAAGAGAGGCAGAAGATGAAAAAGCAAGTAGATGAAAAAAGAGAGGGTAAGGTATAGAAAATAGAAATAATAAAATATGTAATATATAGATACAATTAATATATTACCCTAAAGAAGATAAAAATGACAAACCCTACCAAAAAGTAGAAAACAAAAATCATCCAAAAAAAATAAATAAAACTAGAAAATAAAGAGAAAAGCAGCACAAAATAAGTAAAAATTATAAAACAAAACAAAAAATCGAGACAAATAAATTAACCAGCCAAAGAAAAAAAGCAGAAAACACACATATGCATATTTAAAACAAGCAAAACACATCACATACAGTCATACACACACATATACACATAAACGAAAAGCCCAAGTCCTTGAGAAGATGGAAGAGCAGAGCTAGACAGCAATCTCCGACCCCTTAACAGTACAAAAAGGAAACAGTGAAGAAATAGCTGACTAAAGAGCTGTCAAAATAAATGCTCTAAGACCCAACATTAAACAACCTGAGGCCTGGAGAGACCTTAAATTTTGGATACCAGAACAGAAAGTAAGAACAGAGTTCCTTAATCCCAAACCCAGACCAGAGGAGGGTGAGGGGATAGGGGCAACAGAAAAAAAAAAGAGGGAGAGTAAAAGCACATTAGCTCACCCCAAAAGAGCAGCTGGAAAGAAAAGCAAACCAACTTAAAACAGGAGAAGAGAAGGTAGTTTGACCCACTGTAGACAGAACACCAATTTAACCCAAATGGCAGCCATTTTGTGGAGTCCATAGCTTGATGGTCACCCTAGAAGAGAAATTAAATCAACATGGCATCTCCCCACCTTCAGACAGCAACAAATATAACTAGAGGGAAACTCCTGCAGTGGGTTGGCTCAATAACGTTTCTAGAAGAAACATAATAGGGGGATTACTACTAACCAAAAGTTGCTAAAACTCCTTCCCCCTCACTGAAAATAAGGGGAGGAGGAGTGGATCAGACCCTCCCCAGAAAGTGCTACCCTACCAGCACTGCACACAGCTTCTGCAGGAATCTGGCAGGGGGGGAGGTAGAGAGAGGATGTACACAATTCACAGAGGCAGAAAACAAGAGCAAGAACCAGGCAGGAAAGCAGAAGTCTCAGTCCTAGGCAGAAAAGGGGTACAGTTCCAACAATTCAAAGCTACAGCTGGTGGGAGTTTGTACACTGGAGTGATGACTGCCTCCCCAGTCAGCCTGCTGTTCACAACCCTGGGCAGTGGGGGCCCAAGGTGAACTGGCTGAGGGGAGTGGGCATGTGGTGACCCAGAGCCTTGCATCCTGAGCTCCTGCACACAATAGAAACAGCCAGCAGACACAGTGCCACACCCTCTGAGCATCCAGCATCAGGCACCTGGGCTAGTAAATAAGAACTGGCTAATGGGAGGTGGATAGCAACTAGGGAAGTGGCTCCTGTGCCCCAGCCCATCTGGGGGAATCCAAAACTAAAAAATAATGAACATCTTCTAAAGATCCCCAAACCTGATGAAATCTAAATGAAGACTCAGTAAGAACTTTCTTCACCTTGACAAGGATTACCATAAATAGCTCTAATGTCAACCTTGATCATACATATATCACTCTTTAACTTGATGTGATAGTTTTCACCTTGTGTATGATATTGTGCCCTCAAACCAATTTGATTATATTTCTTCTAATGTTTTAAAGCATTAATAGGGACTTATTCTCAATATCTTTGCTTGCCTAGCTCAAGTTTACATTTGACCTTCTTATTTCTCTTGTCTCTCTTACAATACCTGCTACTGCCTTAAATCCTGCACAAATCTTTCTTTTTCTTTTCTTTTTTTAAAATAATCACCAATCCTTCTTTTTTAAAATTTTATCTTGGTGTACATTTTTCTTTTCTAGGTAATCTTTTCTTTCAGTTTTTCTCTTCTTTTGCCCAATTTTTCTCTCCTCCCTTTTGTGACCCATGTGTAATGTTATAATAATTTTACTACATTCAATAACTAATTTTTCCCCTAATCCAGAACCTTACTGCAAGTTTATACTCAGATTAGAGGAACGGTAGAGAGCAGTATCAACAAGTTTGTTTTTCCTAACGTCAAACAGTACATGGTTTTCTCTGAAGTGATAGTAGTAAGTAGGCTTCAGTGGCTTCACTCAAAGGGGCAATGATACTGGGAACAACAGGGGACACTCTTTGAGTTAAAATATCAATACCTGGCTATTCACTCAATCCATGGCTCTTAAGACAAATATTCCTTGCATAAGAGAACCAGTGATAATCATCCCAATAGATGGGAAGACCTACAAGAAACATCTGAACACATGGACAACATAGTTGAGGAATGTCAGGGAAAAAATTTAGAAAGTTTATAGTTAAAATGTTCAACAAACTAAACGAAGAAGTAAGGAATAAAATTAGAGAGAAAATAGAAGAAATGAAAGATTATCTCAATCAAGAGAGTCTCTGAAAAATATCCAAACAGAAATCCTGGAAATGAAAGACTCAATAAATTAAATTAAAAATTCAATGAAAGCATCACTATTAAGTTAGACAACATTTAAGATAGATTTTCAGGCCTTGAAGAAAACAATCTTGAAAACAAAGTTGACCATTAATAAGAAAATAATGTGTTTTCTCTGATATAAGGAAGCTGACTCATGGTGGGGTAGGGAAAGGGAGCATGAGAGGAATAGATGAATTCTATATAGGGAAGAGGGATAGGAGGGAAAGGGAGGGGCAGGGGATTAGCAAGGATAGTGGAATATGATGTACATCATTATCCAAAGTACATGTATGAAGACACGAATTGGTGTAAACATACTTTATATACAACCAGAGATATGAAAAATTGTGCTGTATACATGTAATAAGAATTGTAATGCATTCTGATGTCACTTTTTTAAAACAAAAATCAATAAAAAAGAAGAAAATAATAAGATACCATGATCAGAATATTTAAGAAATCTTGGATAACATCAAAAGACCAAATTTAACAATCATCACGGTAGTTGAAGGCTCCAAAATACAAACTAAAGCAATGCAAAACCTCGTCAGTGAAATAGTATTAAAAAACTTTTTAAATCTTATGAACAAGATGGAAATCCAAATACATGATGTATATATAACTCCAAATATGCAGGATTAAAAAAAATCTCCAAGACATGTTATAATGAAAATGCCTAATATATAGAATAAGAATAGAGAAAAAAAGGCAGGTCTCATTTAGTGGTAAACTAACTTGCATTTCAATTGATTTCTCAAACAGACCCTAAAGCCAAGGCTTGAAATAATATACACCAAACCTTAGAGAAAACAGGTATCAACCAAGATTACTATATCCACTAAAATTATCTTTCAGAATAGAAACTGAAATAAATACCACAATAAGCACTAAGTAAAAGAATTTATAATGACTAAACCTGTGCTGTAGACTCTAAAAATATTTCATGCAGAAGAAATGGAAAAATTAAAACAGCATATGGGGCTAAGGTTGTGGCTCAGTGGTAGAGCACTTGCCTAGCACGTGAGAGGCCCTGGATTCAATCCTCAGCACCACATAAAAATAAATTAAAATAAAGGTGTTTTTAAAAACAGCATATGGATGATGGAAAACTGGGTTTAAAAACAGTAGAGAGGGCAGGGGATGTGGCTCAAGCGGTAATGCGCTTGCCTGGCATGCGCGGGTGCTGGGTTCGATCCTCAGCACCTCGTAAAAATAAAATAAAGATGTGTCCACCAAAAACTGAAAAATAAATATTAAAAAATTCTCTTCTCTCTCTCTTAAAAAAACAGTAGAGAAAAAGTAACAAGGGGTAGGAGGTAGGGAGTGGTGGTGGGGAAATGCTAGGGAGTGATATTGACTAAATTATATTGTGTACATGTATGAATATGTAACAACAAATCTCATCAAATGTACAACTATAAGGCACCAATAAAAATATGGGGAAAAAAACAGAACTGACCATGTGTTTGCAAGAGGTTCACCTTACAAGACAAAGACATCCACAGGTTGAAGATGAAAGGATGGGGGAAATATACAACGCAAATGGTGCCCATAAGCAAGCATGAGTAGCTGCTTTTAAGTGGACTTCAAGACAAAATTAATCAGAAGAGGCCAAAGGTCACTTCTATGGTAAAGGGAATCATCCAACAAGATATAATGATTTTAAATATTTATGACACAAACAATGATGCATCTACACACATAAAACAAATCCTTCTCAATATTAAGAATCATATAGATCCCAACACAATAATACTGGGTGATTTCAACACAACCCTCTCACCATTAGATAGATCATTCAGATACAAACTAAAGTCTCTTTATACTACAATGGATCTTACAGACATCTATAGAATAATTCATCCATCAAAAACTGAATTTGCCAGGCATGGTGGCACACATCTGTAATTCCAGCAGCTTGGAAGGCTAAGACAGGAAGATCTTGAGTTCAAAGCCAAGCTCAGCAAGGCAAGGTACTAAGCAACTTAGTGAGACCCTGTATCTAAATAAAATAAAAAAGAGGGCTGGGGATGTGGCTCATTGGTTGAGTGCCCCTGAATTCAATACCTGGTATCCCCCCCCCCCGTAAAAAATAAAAAGAAAAAACCTGAATTTACTTTCTTCTCAGCAGCACATGCATCATTCTCTACAATAGATCATATTT